ACACATGTGATGAGGGCATGGGCCTTGGGGCGAATTGGACGTTGGAGATTGCAGCTCAACCGCATTCCGGATTCGAGTGCTTCTTTTTGTTGCGGTCCGGCCGCCGGTGTGCCTGTATGTGCCTGTATGTGGCTGTGCTGCTTCTGAGCTCATGCGCGCGATGGACACGGCATTCTCCTGGTACAGAAGAAAGAATCTTCCTTTTCCCCACGAGTGTCCTGGCATGACTCTGGCACCGCGTGTCTCAGTTTATCACTCCGACGCAACTATCGGTGAACCAAGGTTCTACTTACAAGCAGACAACACAACGAAAGAAGTTCGCCATCAGAGCACTTCAAAGCTTCTATGCGCTTTGGTGCAAATGAACTATTTCCGAGCAAGTTCACACAACCATCTTCAGGTAGGCCACACGCATGAGGATGTGGGATACTCGGCAGCAGGGATTCTGTTCTTTAAGTTAGTTTTTTGCTGCGTGGTAGCTGATGCACAGCAATGCACTGTTGATGAGCTGAATGTGTTTACTGAGACGCCACACTGGCCCTGGTGACAACGGCTTTAAATCAAACTACGGACATCCAGACACCTCAAGACATCAGCAGAATCCTCACGGACAGTCTCGGGCCGATGTTTCGAGATAAAGGAATGATGATGCAGTGCGAACATGTGACGCAGGCCAGACTATGAGCTCCAACTCAGCACACGCAGTCGGGTAAGTTTGAGGCCGCACATTAGAAGCTGCAGTCTGCCGGAGGTTCGCAAGTGGGACGAGCTCCTTCCACAATCGGTGCAGTTTTTCCATGCGTATCAGGAACGAGCCGAAGGCAAGTCTGACAAGCGGGTGCCACATGTCTTCCAGTTTCTTCCACGCGAAGGCGGGGAGCATCAAAGTGTAAGGCAGATGTCAATCCGAGCCAGAATCATCCCTGAATTTGGGCCCTGTTTGCAGCTCTGCCGGATCATGGCCGTGGCATTCAGCTATCAGAACGCGTACCTGTTCGCATGAGGAACTGCGGCAACCAGAGTGACGTATTTGCCATCATGAAAATGTACATGAGTGACAAGCAGGCCAGTCAAGCAACGCTACTGTGCT